TGAAAAAATTATCACAGGTTCCAAAAATATATTAAGCAGCAACAGTTTCCAACATTGATAATAAATCAGCATATTAGAATGATTCTGAAGATCATCTGACACTGAAGACTGGAGTAATGATGCTGACAATTCAGCTTTGCATCAAATAAATAAATTATATTTTAAAGTATATTAACATAGAAACCCATTATTTTAAATTAGAATAATATTTCACAATATTACTGTTTTTTTTCTGTATTTTGGATCAAATAAATGCAGCTTTGATCAGCAGATGAGACTTCTTTAAAAACATTACAAATCTTACTGATCCCAAACTTTTGAGCGGCAGTGTAAGTGATCCACAAAACCATCCTGGATAGAAAGCAGGACTGCTAAAGATCAGCAGAGATCAGTACCTGCGACGGGCTCCGCACAGACAGGAAGTCCTGCACAGGAAGTAGCAGCTGCAGTCTGGAGTCAATGTGACGGAGACTGTGGAGTTCAGACGGTTCAGGACCGAAACCTTCACAAACTGATAGAGTCGACGAGACCACCTGGAAACCAGAGGAGAAATAAATAACTCACCCAACAATGAAAAGAAGTGTATTTCCACCCGGCCTTCAGCACATTTAACCCCCCAAAAAAAGAAGATATTCTCAAGAACGTTTGAAACCAAACAATATTGGACCCCGTTGACTTTATATGAACTTCCTCAAAATATGTCAGAATGATGAAGTCAGATGGTTGAATGATAATTTTTCAGGCTTTTATGGCTCATGTAGTCTGAAATAGTGTGGTTCCAACAAAGTGGTTGCTGAGCAACACACAGAAGTAAACAAAGGTGTATGTTTGTAGAGTAATTTACAACAGCTTCGAACGTGGCTCAGCCAATCAGAATCAAGGACCGGAACTATCCGTTTTATAAAGAGCTATTTCTACCTGACTTAACCTATAAAAATATAATTTATTTGTATAAATTAATGTATTTAGGTTGATACAGTGATGCTAAATATTTTTTATGACTTGAATAAAACTATATAATTTAGATGTAAAATTTTTTTCAGTGCACTGTGGTGAGTAAAACTCAACCTCAGTCTCCATAGATACTCACTGTCTGCGGTGCTCATTAAAACATTAGAATTATTGATGTTTAGTTGAAATATGAACTGGCTGCCTATGACCAAATTACAGCCATGCTGACGTTCAGTTCAGCCACACTTGTGAAGCTGCTTAAGTATAGATTGCAATAATAAAGCGATGTTTGCCTTTAGTTTACAAAAGTGGACACAACATATTTTCCACTAAATAATTTCAATATTCATATTTACAGTAGATGCGTTTGAATGACTAAAGAGGAGCAGCGCTGCAGGAAACAGCTCATTGGCTGCAGAATCAGCATTTAAACAGATACATATATCTAGCACAGACAGCAAATTGGACATTCTTTATGCTTTTATGTGTTACTTGAAAGCTATTACTCACAATGAAAATACCACCGTGACAATGCAAGGGTGATCACTAAGTTTAGTGAAAAATGCAGTGTTTGCAGCGTCAGTATTTAGGGAATAAATAAGTCATGTCCTTATACACTGTTTCTTTGCTTCTAAATGCAGTATCGCACATTCACATTAATGCATATTAAAGCACATTAGTGAAAAAGTCATAAAACTGATTTATAGGGAGAGAGGGTAATTTCTCTTCAAGCTGTCCTCTGAGACTCAGATACGGCCACTGCAGAATGTATGTGTGTGGGAAAAGACTGGTATTTTACATTTTTAACCCACTTGAACATGGAACCTCCACCATTAGACAGCTTCACAGACTGCAAGAGAGCAGATGTTTCTCTAACCCTGAGGACCTTAAAATAACTCTCAGAAAACACATCCACGATATGCACTGATCAGCTGAACACATAGAAAACTCCTCCTGCAGTGTATGAGAGAACCACAAGTCTTGCTTTTTATGACTCAAATGCCTTCTGAGTTTGGGGGGAAGAAATGCATTCGGAACATTTGACAGAATCATGTAATAACTTTTAAAATTCAAACAACACCATCTTCTTTATCCTGCCGTTAGATAAAGAACATAAATCAGGATTCTGAAGAGGTTTCAGAATTCCAGATTACTTTCTTGCTTAAAAAAAATCAGGATTGCGTTTATTTTGTTGATATAAACTTTGTTTATAATAAGTTTGGCTTGCCAGCTGTTTTCATTTTAGAGCTGAAACTAGCTGTCATAACTAAAAAAAAAAAAAAAGATTATAAAATTGAATTTTTTTGGACCATTCTGCTTAGCCTGGGCTTAAATGTTATATAAATAAAAACATGATTCACTAACAATTTACAACCACAAAATGTCACAATACTCTTTGCATTTATTTTCATTTAAAACAATGTTTTCTGGAACAATATGTTTGAGCTATTTTTACTTCAAATAAATCACCCTGGTTTTAAATTTTTTGTCTAATGCAAAGGAATTCAGACATCCATGCCACACATGCCTCCAGCATCCAACACTTTTTAATTCTGAATATACCGGCAAATAATAATCCAGAGGAAGGGGACGTGTGTCTTACCTTTAACCAGCACATGAGCTGTACACACAGCTCTGCCCTGACCATTCACTGCGACACACGAATACATGCCTGCATCCTCCAGAACAGCTGCCTTAACCGTCAGCTGAGCCGTACTCTCCTCAAACACAGTGTGGGAATATGGAACGGGCTGATCTGAAAATACAGAACAAAAAGAGACCGTATCAGTAATTGACCAACAAATCAAGTGATATAAATAAAAACATGATTCACTAACAATTTACAACCACAAAATGTCACAATACTCTTTGCATTTATTTTCATTTAAAACAATGTTTTCTGGAACAATATGTTTGAGCTATTTTTACTTCAAATAAATCACCCTGGTTTTAAATTTTTTGTCTAATGCAAAGGAATTCAGACATCCATGCCACACATGCCTCCAGCATCCAACACTTTTTAATTCTGAATATACCGGCAAATAATAATCCAGAGGAAGGGGACGTGTGTCTTACCTTTAACCAGCACATGAGCTGTACACACAGCTCTGCCCTGACCATTCACTGCGACACACGAATACATGCCTGCATCCTCCAGAACAGCTGCCTTAACCGTCAGCTGAGCCGTACTCTCCTCAAACACAGTGTGGGAATATGGAACGGGCTGATCTGAAAATACAGAACAAAAAGAGACCGTATCAGTAATTGACCAACAAATCAAGTGCTGAGAAATTTGTAACGTAACATATCCCACTGAGACAGAGATGTGGATGACACTTAATAAATAATGCAAAAGTTGAGATGAGTGCAAATTATGTAGATAAAATTGCAGCTAACAAAGTTATTTAGAAGTGATCATGAAGAGAATATAGAGCACAGCGGTGATTACAGTGATGATATTTTTTTTGTTGGCCCCTTGTCAAAAACCCAGTTTGATTTTTCCATTGTTTTGGATTATTACAGCAAAAATATTATTGCTATGTAACCAACAACAGTTTAAAGCCTAAGTTCAATCAGCAGAAGCAAAACTCTGAGAGTTTAAATGAGCATGACTATAAACACAAGAGGAGGACTAGTGAGTGCATGGGTTTTATTGTTCAGTGTGATTGTTTAATGTCCCAGAAAACCTCTGTATTCCCATTTAGACACTTGTTAGCAACTGCCTTAAAAAAAAAAAAGTCCGGTCTAAATTTCGATCTCCAGTGATAGTGCCCTCTGGTGGCACTGGTAGGATAACTAAGTGATTGCATCTGTCAAAATATGAAATGAACAGAACAGCATATAACCATGCTACTCATGCTGTGTCTCTTTGCAGTAGGATTCTCATTGTTAAATGTTTTTGCTTGAAAATGGCTTTGCTGCTAAACGTGTCTGAGGATTCATAGAGCAGTCCTCTCAAAATCATGAGGAAAAGCTTCTTCGTCTTCCTCTTTTTCCGACTTTCCTTTCTTTTTGTAAACCCCGTTTTTCCAGGGATTGTTGCTCTCTCTCTCTCTCTCTCTCTTAGATGTCTGACTTACCGAGTCCATCTGTGTGTAATGTTTCAGGGTGAGTGATACATGTTTTGCCTTTATATGGTTGTAAGGTCTCATATTTGCTCAAAGGCCCCTGCTGCGGCTCACAGTTTCTCAGGGAAACCCAGAGTCAAACTCAAGAGATATTCATCCAGGCTGTAGTGTACCACAGTCTTACAGTCTGTCTGTTCCAGAACAGCATAGAATCGACTGTTCATATTAAAACTGTTGAACCAAATGGCAAATAACTGAAGTAGGCAGAAACGGCCCTTTTTGTAAATTAGCAATGATCTATTCACAATACAAAAACAGTCCACTGAAACATACACTGAGAGGAATCCTTGGAAATAACATTAGCATGTATATGCTATGATTTACATTATTATTAGTATTGTTTGCTCAGACGAGCATCATTATTACTATTGATTATGACATTTTTTTTTCTTTTAATGATATAGTGCACATGCAGCTTGTGGAGTAGACAATAATAGACAATAAATAAAAGGGCATTAATAAAGATCTGAAAAAATCCAATAGACAGTGAGGGAGAGAGGGTAATTTCTAGAAACCAATATCACAGAGACTTGGGAATGGGCTGTTTTCACCAGTGAACAACAATCTAACTGCAAAAAGCATTGTGTTTGAGATATAACAGTGAGATGTATCCCACAAAATTAAGTTTTGTATATCCAACATCCCTGTAAACTCATATAGCGCAAGCGGTTTGGAGAATGGATGGATGGAATATTTAGGTTTGTTTTAAATTGTTATTAGATGCTGGGATAATGTGACATTTTAGATTACTGTTGTGTTGTTTTGAATGTTTTAGGTTTGGCAGCATTCTTCAGACTCTTGAAGAACCCCAAAATTTTGAAATTAAAATCAAAACAAAATTAGAGCAGCACTATTGCTATAGTCGTTGCTATAAAGCACAGCTATAAGACTGTGGTTGCATTCACAATTTCACCTGAACAGCAATTATATGTAAATAATAAATATAGCCTATTTTAGCTGGACAGAGAACAGAGTGACACACATACACACAAACCTTCATAACCCTTCTGTCTCAGACATGAGCAGAGACAGATATCTAGCAATGTATCTCTCCGTGGCATAGTAGGTCAGAAATATTTAGACTAAAAAGAGTGATCTTCATGTATCTTTGTCCAGTACCTTTTCCTTTTTTTATGTTTTTGAAAACAGCACTGGGGAGATGCAACATTACTGTCCTCTACTGGTTAAATTGTAACTGCTTAACTTCATAGTTATAGAGTGCTTTTAAGTCTTTATTATTCCACTCATTTAATAAACCTCACAATTAAACTAAACCTTTTCGACTTTTAGCCTTACTTTCTGAAGTCGGAAGCTTTGCTACTGTTCGGACGCAGTTGCTTACTGCTCCACGCTTTGCTCCCTATTTATGTACTTTTCTCAGATTTTTCTAAGATTTTAACTTCAGCAGATCAGCACAGTGTTCAAACAACACATTTTTGGCACAAACACTAAACTAAAAACTTTTCGGGACTGGAATAATACTACGAAAAAGAAGACTCTTTGCCTCCCACTGCCAGCAGCTTACATTCTGTAGACAGGAAAACACAGCTGCCCACATTCAAACAGACGAGAAAGAAAATGCCTCTTGTGGAATCTACTTGCTGCATGAACTGCCACAGACTTCTACAAAGGATTGTGGTTCTTGAAACAAAGTTACTTGCTGGACTTCCAAAACAGGCAGAACACTCAGCAGACCGTCGTCACGGACCCCCTCAGCATACAGCCGGTGAGTCCCATGAATCTAGTGAATCTCAACAGTTAATACCAAGTGTAGAGGAACAAGCCGAAACTGATCGACAGACTAATCGATGGCACAAACAGGGAGCGAGACCCAAAAGCAGTAGAGACATCAGATTGTCACGAGTATCTCGTATTGCCGCGGTAGCATCCTCTACCCCAGATACGGCTATGACAAGGCTTGCAAACACTGGTATTCCACCACCCCCTATACATCTTGAGAACAGATTTGAAGCATTAACCACTTAATAACTTTGTTATTAAGTGGTCACAAACAACCTGGATTTTATGTTTCTAAATTAAACGTGGCTAGAAGACAGCTGCAGTTCAACAGTACTCAATGAAACAGCCCCTCCTAACTTTACTTTCATGAGTGTTTGCAGGACTGTTAGGAGAGGTGGAGGTGGAGGTGTAGCTGCTCTATTTAAAGATGTCTGTCTATCAATGCAAGCAAGTGTCATTTGGTCAGTACTTGTCTTTTGAATATCTAGGGATTGTGTTGAAAGGTGCTCCACGCATTCTGTTTATCATTATTTACAGGCCTCCAAAATACTCTCCAGCCTTTGCTGAAGAGTTCACAGAAATGCTATCAATGATTTCCTCAGAGTTTGACTGTTTTGCTATTGCAGGGGATTTTAATATTCACATAGATAATGCAGAAAACAAAACTACAAAAGAAATTATAACCGTTTTAAACACTTTTGACCTGATTCAGCATGTGCATGAACCCACACACAATCGTGGACATACTCTAGATTTAATCATCAGTAGAGGTCTAAACATTTCATCCATTGTTATTAAGCACGTAGCACTATCTGATCACTTCTGTATTTTATTTAATATATTGATCTCTGTTACCACTGAATCTAGATCTGTCTCTGTCAGAAAGAGATGCATTAACGAAAACACTAGTGTGCTATTTATGGAGGCTATATCTTTAACACCAAGCATTTCTGCAGACTCTGTTGATCTTCTCCTTGATTCCTTTAACTCAAAAGTTAAGAATGTTATTGATGACATTGCTCCTTTGAAAGTCAGCAAGAAGACTGGCAGACAGAAATCAGCTTGGAGAAAATCAACTATATATATATTTTTTTTTTAATTTCAGTAAACAATAATTTTATTTCAAGTAACGAAACAGTTTTAGTATAATTATAATGGTTTTATGTGATATTTAGGGGTGCATATATGTACATGAATTCATTTATTATTTAGGGTTTTATCTAAAGTAAATTGTAAATGGAAAACATCACAAATCAATTAGTTGTAAGAGCCAATAATATTGATAGACTAGTTACTAGTACACAATGCCAGGCTTAAAGAATAAGCTAGATTAGTGCAGTGAATGAACACAGCGTCAGTGAACAGACAGTGAGGCGTCTGATGTGGTGCAGGCTGACACTAATCTGACCAATATTACTGAACATTTTAGAGTTCTGCTGGGTGCTAAACTGAAGAATTAATGGATGAGTGGTCTCTCAAACAGTGTATGCTCTTACCGTTGTGCAGCCAGGTGAGCTCAGGCAGTGGTTTGCCCTCCACTGAGCACTGCAGCAAGAAGTCCTGTCCCTCTAACACTGAACAATCCTTCAGAGGAGAGCTGAACACAGGGGGCTTGGCCTCCACCCTCACACCTACAACACACAAACATAACTGAACATCTGAAACCAACCAATAGGTGGCACTGTCACACTAATAATAATAATAATAATAATAATAATAATAATGTTATATAATAATAATAATAATAATAATTGTACATAATAATTGTACATAATAATAATAATAATAATAATAATAATAATATTAATAATAATTATTATTATTATTATTATTATTATTAAATGCTTGTTGAAAAATAGTGTCCATAAATTATTTTTTTATTTTTTTTAAAGATGCATTAAACTGATCAAAATAATCAGTGAAGGCATGGAAAATGTTTCTAACCAAAGTTATGTTTCAAATAAATGCAGTTCTTTTGAGCATTATATTCATCAAAAGATCTCTAAAAAAATGTATTGCAGTTTCCTCAAAAACAAAGAGCTGCAACTTCTTTGCAAAAATAAAATAAAATAAAATAATTCAGTATAGTCTCTGAACAAATATGAGCTTATAAAATGTATGTAGAAAAATAATAGAAGAATTTGAAAAATCTAATAACATGACAACACTACAGCACAGAGATGTCACTGTTTAACATGTTACCTTATAATGAACAATCAATTGTCATTTTTATTGTTGTACTTAAATGGCAATCCATGAACGTAGATGTATAAAGTTCTTACGTTTGACAGTCAGGCTGCAGTGGGCCGCAGTCTTTCCTCTTTTGTTGGCAGCAGTGCAGCCGTACTGTCCCGTGTCAGTTATGTGAGCGCTCTCCAGACACAGGACATGCAGACTGCCCTCCTGTCGCGTGCTGACGCCTGATCTCTGTCTCAGAGGAGCTCCATCCTTCAGCCAGCTCACTGTCGGCACTGGAGACCCAGACACTGAGAGAGCACAACACTTACCTAAATCTGCCATACAAAGTAACACAACGTCCCACAGCATCTGCAGTTCTTCTTACATTTTTTATTCTAAATTTAAATGTAAATGTTTCATTTGTATACATTTGTTTCCCCTGTCACATAATCATGGTAAAATATCTCTGTAAGGCAAATTTTTTCTGAAATAAATAAATAAATAAATATATATATTAGAAAAAAAAATTTGACCCAACTTTACAGTGCATTTAATTTTATAATTACTTCTATTGTCTTTGAAATATGGTTAAAGTGAACTACTGAATGTACTAGCATTTAAGGTTAAGGTTAAAATATACTTTAATGTTATTTATATGCCATGTATTTAAATATATTTATAACTACACATTTGTAATGATGAAGTTGCAATTTATTACATTTAAAATATATTAAATTGGAATAACACACTACAGATAAAATTATAATCAACTACTTTGTGATTTAATATATTTAGTCAACCCATCACAATAAGCATCATTCTTTAAATTTATATTAAAACATAGTGTTTTAAAATGTACTTAAAAGTAATTGTATTGCATATTTAATACAAATTTGGCGCACGTTATACAAAGGAATTCATTAAGTCTCATCCTCTGGCCAGAGGTTATGAACTGCTGCTGCTGTGCAGTGATTTAGACTGATTTTAGAGTGATTTTTAGCTGTATACTGACCAATCAGCATCAAGACCAGAACTAAATAACCTGCAACTCTATAGCTGATTCTAACTCACCTTGGCATCTGAACGTGACCTTTTCACCCTGCACAACCTCTTGGCTCTCGGGCTGGGATTCAAAACTGGGTGGAGTTTCTAGAAAGTCTGTTTTGCTCTCTTTGGTTTCCTGGCGAACGTCTCTGCTCGACTCCCGCTGTGATGCTTCAGGAATCTCTTCTGGAGCTCTGAACGAATCCCAAGCTCTTCTGATGCCATGCGACTCTTTCTTTACAATGTTCTGACTTCTTTCCTTCGCAAAGTGTGATGTCTTTTGACCAGCTGCTGATCTTCCATCTGTGGACTTGCTGATAGGTTGTGAGGATGGTGAAGATGTTATTTTCGGTGCCTCTGTTCTGGTCACAGAATGAACACTGGCTACAGCAGCAGTGGACAGCGGTGCGCTTGTCTCTGCGGTTGCAGTTCGGACGGATGTGCTAGACGTTTTCTGTTCAGTGTCCAGACCGTTGGTGCTGTGCTTGACCACAGATTGTGTAGAGAGATCTTGAGATGGTTTGGGCATTCTATGGAAAGAAAGATCATGAACAGTCAAGTGAACAATCATTGCTGACTGTAAAGATGCACTAGAGCTAGGGGAGTTTTCAAACTGGGGTCTGGGGACCATCAGAGGTGCTTGGGGTCTGTGGAAATGTTTACAGAATAAATAAATACATATAATAAAGTGATTAAAACAAACAAGTAAATACACAAGTAAATAAATATATAAATACAGTACTATAACCTCTACAACTAATCCAAAATGCCGCTGCAAGATTAATCTTTAATGAACCGAAAAGAATACATGTCACACCTCTGTTCATCAATCTGCACTGGCTACCAGTAGCTGCTCGCATTAAATTCAAGGCATTAATGTTTGCCTACAAAACCACCACTGGCTCTGCACCCATTTACCTAAATTCATTACTTCAGAGTTATGTGCCCTCTAGAAGCTTACGTTCTGCTAGTGAACGGCGTATTATTGTGCCATCTAAAAGAGGCACAAAATCACTTTCACAGACTTTTTCATTAACTGTTCCCTCCTGGTGGAATTACCTGCCCAAATCAGTCCTTAACCATCTTCAAGAAACGACTAAAAACCCATCTGTTCTATTTTATTTGACCCTCTAACTCTAACACTTTCTATTCTATTTTAATTCTACTATATCTATTTATATTATTTTTTATTTAAAAAAAAATCAACTAACACTAGCTTTCTATTTTTTTTTCCTATTCTATCTACTTGTTTTTCTTTGTGCGTGTGTGTGTATATGTATGTGTGTGTGTGTGTGTGTATAATATATATATATATACACCTTGCTACGTGTACTGCGTTAGGCTAACCGAGACTTGTCATTTGCACTTATATATTGTTGCTCTTTTGTTAGTTTTGACTGCTTTTATAGTCCTCATTTGTAAGTCGCTTTGGATAAAAGCGTCTGCTAAATGACTAAATAAATAAATAAATAAATAACAGAACAATACAGTAAATACAGTACTATAATTACTAGGGGAACACCTCATTTAATATAATCTAAATATTTTCCATATAATTTGGGTCTTTACTCAAGAAACTATATAGATGACTTTTTTAATTTTAGGATGGGGGTCACTAACACGATATTCATCATATGTGACCCTGGAGCACAAAAGCAGTCTTAAGTCGCTGGGGTATATTTGTAGCAATAGCCAAAAATACATTGTATGTGTCAAAATTATCGATTTTTCTTTTATGCCAAAAATCATTAGGATATTAAGTAAAGATCATGTTCCATGAAGATATTTTGTAAATTTCCTACTGTAAAAAATTAAAAGCTTAATTTTTGATTAGTAATATGCATTGCTAAGAACTTCGGTTTTATTTTTTTATTTAAAAAAACAAAACAAAAAAAAAACAAAAAAACACTAGCTTTCTATTTTTTCTATTCTATCTACTTGTTTTTCTTTGTGCGTGTGTGTGTATATGTATGTGTGTGTGTGTATAATATATATATGTATGTGTGTATATATATATATATGTGTATGTGTGTGTGTATGTATATGTATGTATGTATGT